TCAGCAGGAAAATGTCCCACAGAGTCCCAGAGGAGACTAACCAATACCGACCCGAACCCGGCTGCTTTTAATCGTAAGAAATCGACCCAGGCCAGATGTTTTTCCCCGATCACAGGCACGAAGAGTAACGTGGGGTGAAATAATCAAGTATATGGTCCTGCCGATGTGACCGAACCTGACCTAAACTCAAACAAGACATGTCAACAACACCCGGACAATCTCCAGCTCACGGACATATTCTCCAGAGACGTTCTCTGGAGGTCATGTCAAATGTAACTGGCTCTATAGAGTTTTTTATCCTGAACTGAAATCAGCCTCCAGCTCCTGTTACCTAATGATGACAGCTAATGGTAACAAGCAGAAATTAAAGGCTTCCTGATTTTTCCATTTTGATTATGCCGATTGCTGTTTACTGTGGTTTCGTGCCGGACTCACAGGATCAGCAGAGTCAATCTCCTGCGTCGTGCTTTGTTTCTGGCTCTACTGAAGCAGAAAAAGTGGACTCTTAGTGGATATCCTGGGGGGGAGGGGGGTGGGGGGGTATCCTAACTGTGTTCAATTAGGAAATCAAGCAGCAACTGTGTCTTAAACTATCGCTCTGCTCTCTTCACCTCGCAGCACTATTGATTGAAGAATATAATATATATACTCTGCACTATTGTTTGCTTTATACATGTGGACATGTATATTATAAACATGTAGCTTCATGTATACTTTTTACAAATTGAATGATTGAATAATTCCTCTTTTCCATGGAAAAGAAAGTAAAGCTTTCAGAGTAGAATCGGCTCTGTGATTATCTTTTCCATCTATAATTTTATTTGTATTTTCCGTTCTGCCGCCTTTGCTAACAAACGTTTTGACGAATGAAAACTTCGTCCATCCTCCAAATATTATGTACAATAACTGTTGCATGGCAGATAGAAGAATTGATTAAAAAATAAGCAAAGCCCAATTGTTATTTGAGTCGTGCACAAAAAGATGGACGACATGACAGCTCCTCAAAAGTGAAGCCAATTGATCTCGGTGACCCCCCTGGTTCATTTTTTAGATTGGTCGAGCTCGTGTCCTGCAGCGACGCTCCTCGATCACTTCTGCTCACTCCGGCTCCAAATGGCGTCGAAACACATAATTCTTGTACAAGCTGAGGAAGTGGAGGCTCGTGCATCTTTTTGTACAGTCTGAGATAAAGATAGATGACATGACAGCTCCCTAAAGCGAAGCCTAAACATCTAGACGCCCCCTGGTGGCTGGCTTCAGTATAAATCCTGCCTCCTCCATGTTAATTAAGGAGCATGGTTGAAATTAAAGAAGCTTTTTTTTTTTTTTTTGTCTTTTCCATGCTACAACTTACGTTGCAGTTGTTTAACTTTAACCTCCTCTGCCACCAGCCCTCTACCTCTTCTATTTTTTGCCATGTCACCCTCTTCAAAAACCACCGGCACACTACCCACGACCACTATAATGAAAAATGATGGAGGCTGCTCTACAAACTGAGTTGCTCCTTATTTTTCACCTCCCACCAAGCAGAGACAACTGCAACATTGATGCATGGAGAGTGGAGCTGAAATGCTCGGCCAATTAATGAATTGGTCACATGCTGCACTATTAATCATTCGTGCCTCTCAAAATGTGAGAATGCGCTGCTGAGAGAGTTGCATTTATTTGGTGGGACTGCTCCAGGTCTGGGGTTCGTCCAAGATTGTGATTGGATCCGACGGGACCTGAGAGGAGCTGAAAATCACCTGCACACAAACTGCAGCTTCAGTCGGGCAATCAAAACACCAACAAATTACTAACTTGGCCTAATGTCGGAGGAGACAGTGCCCGTTACAGCATTTGCGTTGGGAGACAGCCACACTTGATATTGATTTTTCTTTTACTGAGTAAAACTCTGTAAATATCACTGTAGAAACTCTTAAAGACATTTACGCTAGAGAGAGAAGTTCATTTCAACTCTGAAATACTTTGTGAACTTGTCAGGTGGAGTTTTTGCGATGAATCAAAGACTGTGAAATGGATTTGTATTTTGAACTGCAAGGGTACGACTGCAGTTTATCCTAATGTCAAATCCCTGTTGATATCGGGCGACACACAACCAGGACAGATCCCCAGTCACTGGGCCGACACAGAGGCAAACAATGTTCACAAATATAGAACCTTCTCGCTGCCCCACTGTGTCGCAAATGCACAAAAGGTGGAAAAATAAGACGTGGCACGATCCCAAATTGACATTAACGGATAGAAAATTATGCAAAACGGCTACAATGAGACAAAATGAGTCAAACAACATAAAATGACTTAAAGGTAGGGACGGTAAGTTTAAATCATCTTTACGTCCCGATAGCCATCAATAAATCAATTAAGAAAAAATAAGGTTGCAGGACGGAAATGATTGGCTGTCCGTCACTTATCGATCTGCCTGCCCGTTCTCTCACTGCGCAAAAATAGCCAGAAGTTAGCCAGCGAGTCACAGAAAGTTGTTTTCTAGCAGTTATCAGTGCGAGTTTGTGCGTTTTGGAGGCGGAGCTGTGACGAGGGGGCTGATGGGAAGGGGTGGGATGTATCTCTTACGATCTTCTCCAGGGTTACCAACCCGAGCTAAAACTCTTCAGTAAAACATTCCGGGCTGTTTTGTTTGTCAGTTCCTACATAACTTTCCTGTTGAGAACTTATAACAACATATAATTCAGTGCAACTTTTCAATTTTCAAAGTTACACAATGTGGTCCTGAGGCGAACTGCAGATTTTTTTTATCAGGTCGAAAAGGTTCAAAAGATCACAAGGCAGAGCTGCTAATCAATTCTTTAAATGTCCTTGAATTATGAAAAGTTATATTTAGTTTCTACTAAATATGCTAAATTGACTTTCTACGAACTTGCGTGTGGCGCTCTGACCCCTGTGACATTTACTGTATTGTCCTGCGAGGCAGATTCCAGTCAACCGGCACTTCAGGCAAGTTCGAGCAAATGTTAAAGACGTAGTGGATTTGCAACCATTATAATAATGTGTCCTACTCCGCTGCAGCACTTCTCCCCCCCCCCCCACGTAATAAAAACAGCTTTATATCCCACATCTGATGCAGAAAAGTATGAGGAGTTAGATTTTGTTGGTTAGAAAGACGGACGAGCAGCATCTGTAGCAACTGCAGCTGTGCTGAAGCATAATCATATGCAGAAATTACACTTATTTATGTTTCAAAGGCATCAGTTCAAACACGTTTATAGACTCCGTAACCCCACCACCGAGCCTCCTGCTGTTAGTGCTGCCACGGTCGTTGGTGTTCCTGCTGTTTGTGCTGCTGCTGCTGCTGCTGCTGTTCCATTCTTTGTTGCACGCTCAGCTTTATCTTCTCTATGTTTTTCCTTCCTGACTGATCCTGAAGCCAGTGGTTAATTCACAGTTCAGAAATAAAAAACTGAAAAACAAGAAAATCCTTGTTTGGGATCATTTCCTTCTCACGTGGAGGCAAGAAAAAGTGTTTACACAGCGTAAATCTATTCAGAGCGACTCCTCCTTAAGTAGGCAAGAAGGTGAATTTAAATAAATGTAAGAAAATCAGCGAGTTCAATCATCTGAGCAAAAATAAAAGCATCTTGAGAACCTCATCTGTCTGCTGAGGCATTACTGACCTCTAGTGGAAAACGCTGCTGAGTGTCATAAATTGTGTAAACAGCAGTAACCCTGAAATAGAGGCTCTCAGGCAACATGGTGACGTTAACACTAAGTAAATTATAAGACACTCGACAGGGCCGGTGTTTATCAAGTGACTTCAGCGCCGACTTCACTCAGAGTTAAGGACTGTTGCCTCTAATGAGGGTAATCACCCCGGCAGAGTTTCACTCATTTCCATCAGATAATTACACATTAGAGTCACATGAGGAGAAATAAATCCACTGATTGGAAATCCAGTAGAAATTAGCATCAGTCTCAGACTGGTTGTCCTGAAATCTGTGGTGATAGTGAAATCCTGTTGGACGAGATGACATCACACCCCCACGATCAGAGGAATGGGATGATGTCACCACGTCCTTGCATGACATCACTACTCTAGATGCTGCCCACACACACACACACACACACACGTTATAAAACATCTAAAGAATGCAGAAGAAGCTGAATATAATAAAAACATATGAAGAGTTGAGTAAAGACAAATGTTCTGAATGAGCTGAACGTCTTCATAATTGTTGAAATCGGTTGAAATATGCAGGAGTTGTTGGCGACCGAACCACAAAAACTGCATTAAAAAAAGGATTTTGTAGTAATAACACAGTAGGAGAAGTTGAAAGAAGAAATTTAACAGTAGAAATGTTGTGAAAGGGCTGAAGGTTTTCAAATTGGTTGGAGAATAAAGCGACATAAAAAAAAGGCAGAAGAAAAGAAACCTGAATGAGAGCGAGCACCTCAACCAAGGCCCAACAGTCTCTTTACAAAACCACATTAAATTCGATCCAGATTTTTATTTGGATCTGCAGGAGTCACAAATAAAAGCCTCATTCATCAAGATCCTTGAATTATTCCCTAAATCAATGAAAAGATCCTACAATTATTTTAAAGAGTTCCATCGCACATCCTTCCACCGTGCTCTGTGATACTACGTCCTGTGGTGTTTGGGTAATCCTGCTAACTGACGAATTAATAAAGACAAAAGTAATGAGAGCTGCCCTGAACCAGCTGGTTAAAATCTGTCGGATAAAAAAGTTGAAAGTGTGAGGAAACAGTAAAACTATAGTGCGACTGGTGTGTCCACATTCACACTAATTTAACCGAGACAAATGTCTCAGAGGACGTGGAGCATCAGACGTAGACTCAAACAGCCACAGAGAAAAGACATTATGCAGATGTAAAAGTGTGAAGTGCAAAACTGCAGCTGTTTCTCCGCTTCAACAACAGACAAATCACAGGAGTGTAATGAAATTTTACCTGAAGGTCGATTCAGTCGAGCTGAAATCATTTTCTTGGGAGTGAAAAATCCACAGCCTGCAAATTAAGATGATCAGCACAGTAACTTTATTTAGAGACACACACACACACACACACAGCGACAGTTTCCACTTTTGTTCACATCTTGCAAAGCGTTTGGAAATTCAGTGTCGACTCAGGGCTAAAGAATATTCTCATTTTTGGGGCACCAGGGCGTCGTCCCTCACCACCGGGAATATTTCGATTTCCTTGATGATGCGCTTCGCGATAACGTCGTTGTTTGCTGAGACCATCCGTCGAGACATCAAATCAAACGGCCCCCCTTAAAAAAATAATCAAACAAAGGCTTTGTTAAGAGGGATAATCAAAGAGCTGGTTCTACTTTTAACCACAGTGTTACGCATACACACCATCCACATCCAGTAACAACCCTCCGGCCTCTTTGACTATGACGGCACCAGCAGCAATGTCCCAGCAGTGGATCCCGATCTCAAAGAAGGCCTCCACCGCCCCCGACGCCACCAGACACATGTTGGTGGCAGCTGTCCCTGATCCGCGGAGCCTGTCGGGACAGATCAGCCAGAGATGAGTGAATCTGCATCGGCTACGGTGACCGACCGAGACAGCGAGCTGCAACCGCAGGAGCTTAGCACACGGGTTTTAAGTTTGTTGGAGTGATGGAGAGAATAAAGCTAAACACGACGCTGCGGAAACTAGTTTGTTTTCACTCGTGGGCCGAGACAGAAATGTTGGCGTAGATCTGGTCAAAGTTTCTGTCACTTTATTTACCACTGCTACCACAAGATAGCATGTTCATAAACATGTTCATTTATTTTGACAGTTCCATCTGTTGGCAGGGAGCAAACCGGCACATTTAAGGGACTGACATGTTTGATTGTGTGCAATTCAGTGCAGACTGATAGAATGGAAGGCGACTGCGGGGCCTTCGGGGAGGTGTTCGCTCCACTGACTGTCATTCTGCTTTGTTTAAGAGAATAAACTCTTTGATTAGCAGTAATTCACACCAGAGACCGACCAGAGTCACGTGGGCTCCTCCCACTGCCCCTCCACTTCAGCAGGTTTGCTTTCACTCCGATGGGAGAAGCGAACATGAGCAGATTACGACGAGACTCTTTCGCCTCATTGTCAATGCAGTAAATATTGGAGCCATTTTTCTCTCTCGAGCTACAAACGGGATCCTCTGAGCAGTTTTGACACTAAATCGGCATTTTTAAGGAAATTGCTGAAATCCTGTCTCTGTCTCAGAAAAACTCTCCTGTGAGATGCAGCAGATTTAGACTTTACACAGTGAATAAAACCACAAATCTTTGCTGAACAATACTATAGAAGAGACTGATGCAATGTGTACTGTGTTCATATCAGATATTAAACTGTGCAGTTTCACAGGAATTACACATTTCTATGACTGTTGCCTGAAAGTCCTTCAGTGTCGTTTTGTTTTGTCCACAATGTGAAAGTCAGTGTGTGCGATGTGAGACCACTCACCCATGCACGGGGATGCACAGGATCTTCTGCATGGTGGAGAAAATCTTGTTTACTTTTTCTGGAGTCCTGTCGTATCCATGTTCAGAAATGATGATGGACTTTTTGATCTCTGCGACAGAAGCGAGTCAAACAGCCAGCGTTACGTTTGGAACACGGTTTAGAGACATCAGACCGAACACAAAGACACAAACATCACCTGTGACATCAGACACCTGAATCGGCTCGTCGTTGCAGAAAGCTCCCTTCCCATTCCTCGCCTTGTACATCTTGTCTTCCAGGCAGCTGTACACCACACCGAACTCCAGCTGACAACACATCAGTTCATGTTTTCACTACCAATTAACTACTTCCTTAAAAGATTATCTTTTGCTTGATGTGACGTACCTTCTTATTGACTGCGAAGGCAATCGACACAGCCACAAACGGGAATCTGTTAACAAGTATCCGGGTTAATTATCAAGTAGCTGCGTGTTAGAGGATTAATGAATATTTGAAAAAAGAAGAATAGAGTTTCCTCATTTTGGGAGACAAGCAGAGCACGAGTTGTGCATCCAATGTGAAAAGACTCATATCGACCAGTTTTTATCAAACGATGAACTGGTCGGGTTTAAGAAATGATAACTGTGCTGGTGTGAAACTCACAAAGACATTTTGGCCGATACTTGGATTGGATTTTTTTTTACACCCCAAAAAACTACAGCTCAAAAAGTGAGAGGTTAAAAGTTGCGATGATACTTCACCATGTACATACTCTGAATGTTCGTTGTGATGCTGAGTTTGGTTTGAACAAATCTCATCTTACCCATGTACGAAGTTTGTGGTTCCATCCACTGGGTCTATGATCCACGTGGGTCTGTCAGTTAAGATGCAGGGTTCGCCCTTCGCCACCGACTCCTCCCCGATGAAACTGACGAACCAGAGGACCAGTTATCAAGATAAGTCCGAGAAATGTTGAAACATGCAGATTCATATGAGTCCACGTGTGTGTGTGTGTGTGTGTGTGTGTGTGTGAGTGTGTTTACCAGTGTGTTCCTTCTCCAAATTCTTCTTTCAGAGATCCGATGATGATTTTCTCGACTCTCTCATCAGTTTTTGTGACAAGATCAACAGTGCAGCTTTTTGTCATCACTCTGATTTCACTGTCTCCAGCTTTTCTAATTTCCTAAAAAGAAATAGTGGATTGTTAACAAGCTCTTCTCCTGCTTCATAGACGTATTATTATTATTATCATCCAAATGCAAAATGTACACACATTTGGAAGGAAAATAACTTTATGCTGAAAACTCCAGAGAAAAACTAAATCCACATGCTGTAACTTACTGCTCCGGCTTTTCTCGCCACTTCAACAGCAAACTCATATTCTCTCTGCCATGGTTCACCCATTTTTCTTCTTCTTGGTTTAGGACAGCTGCAAAAAACATAGTATTTGCTTAAAAACAATCACAGATATATAAAAGTGTAAACGTGTCGTGTGTCATTCACACAGCATGTAAGAAGAAGCAGCTCAAATGAGTGGCATGCCAGACATAGGCGTTAACGCCCCTCGATCTGAGACCGATCAAACATCTCTCTTACGACACAATGGGTTATGAAACACTTCCCCTGCAGCTGCTGTCTGCTGATTGTTTCAAATTACAACCACAGAACTTGATCTTTTTTAAGTCAGAAACACTGACGTTGCAGAAGAAATGTGTTTTAACTGCATTTAATAATTTCGTCTTTGTAACAGGTCTTTATCTTAAACATGGTGTGAGCATCTGTTTTTTTTTTTTTTTTTTGATCGGAGGTTGCAGGTACAATCTGTCAGCCTGAGAGGTAAAACCCAGGGATTAACAAGAGATCTGAAATTCATCAGAAAGTGCAAATTCACGGCCACTCAGACGAGTTTATCAACATTTTCCATCACTTCCTCTCTGAGGTTTGGTAACTGATGAGAGGAAACTGTGCAAAAAGATTTTATTGAGTGACAATAACTGACGGGGACAGAAAATATAATAATGGGACAAATACTTCTCAGATCTGCATGATGGTGTTGTCTCAGTCCAGTTTATGAAACTGAGCCAACAATCCACTTCTTAAAATCTCACCTCACAGGTTTTTATCACGTTATATAACACTGAAGACAAACCAGTTTGTCTCTTTACAGACAATGTGGGTTCGTCTGCAGCAGACGTGTTATTATTTCAGGACAAGAACCCTGAACCTGCTGGAGTCTGCTGTGACAGATCAAACTCTTTGGTTCACTGCCAGTCTTCATACGAGTCATTTTCTTAATTTACTTTAATTAATCATTCATGTGTTGTAGAGTGGAAGCTTTTTTTTATGAGTTTTTGGAGATAAATGAAATATATATTATTTATTATACAACGTATTTGATATTAAGATGAACATACACCTGTACACCTTAAATACACATACATGAATCGTCAACGCAAAGCTGAAAATAAAGAAACTCACCTGCCAAAGTCTGGAGGTGTCGTCAGGTGTGGGTCCTTGATGCAAGTGCACCTGCTTTTGAGGAACTTCACTTTAAGTTTCCTCAATGTAAAGATGAGGAACCTGACAAAAAAAAGCTGCTACAACACGGTGGGAAAAGTACTAGCACCGCCCTCACGTGTTTCCTCACAGGAAAAAAGAAAAACATTCTGCCCTCGGCCTGCAATGACATGCAGCAACTTCAGATGCAGTGGTCGCATGAGTGAGTGGAAAGTTTTCAAGCATCTTCTTAATTCCTCTGCGATGACTTGGTTGAGGAGCTATCTCACGAGGACACGCCCAGCAGTGTGCGCACCGCTGAAACATCCAGTGGAATCCAGAAATGGGACAGACGCATCATCCGTACATACAGCGTGTGACATGAACTGAGATCAAAATGCTGAAAACTTCCAGCCTCTCAGTGTCGATGTCAGTTTATGTTGAGCTAAATCAGATTTCCTGAGGTGAAACTAAAACATTTTCTTTTCTCTGAGAAAGCAAAGCGAACATTCCAGTTCCTGACTTTAGTTCTCACATGAGATTTGGCATGACTAACAAAGCTCCTGCCAGTTTTATATTTCCTGACAGTTTCACCGCTATTGAGCTCTCCCCTTATGTTCTTTCATTGTATTCCACTAGCGGAAAATACTTGGAAAAAACCCCTGGTGAGTTGGTGTAGATTATGCCCGTTCTCTCACTGCGCCGCCTAAAAGTTGGATCAAGTCTTGACAATAGCAATGAAAGTAAATACTGCACACGCTCGGGTCTAAAAGCATGTGGATCTAGATTTGCACGTCTATCTTAACTGCTTTCCTGCAGCAGTTGTTTGTTTTGTAACTTCGTTTCTAATTCTCCTGCTCTGCAAGAGGAGGAAATAATAAATGACAACGATATGATGAAGCTAAAAATTAATAGCAGCTACTCTTAAAAAACAGAGAATAAAATGTACTTCAGTCTTTGATGCTACTCCCAGGAATACAGAACACAGAAGGTTTCATGCCGAAGAAGAAGTAGTCATTAAAACAGAATTACAGGTTAACACCAAACAGTGTATTAGGTTTCTATGTGGACTGATTCTTATGTCTGCGCAGCACAGTCCTGGTCCGGGGCTCGTTCAGACACGAAGTTCATTCACAACCACACCTTGCATAACTTGAACTTAAGTGTGTTGAAAAGCCCTGAGCCTGTTTGCTGTTGCACCATTAAAATGTTTTTAAGAATCATAGCAGATCCAGTTACAAACCTTCACATGGAAACAGTTTGGTTGGATGGAGATAAAACTGGCAGAAGACGTCGTCAACCTATTACCTTACTCCCTGGAAGGATGCACACGCTGTGCAGCCGAAATAAAAAAGAGCTCTGTTGGATCGAACAGATCAGAAGGGGCGTCATGGAGGGGGGGATTTGTTGAAAGTTTTGTTTGACTGAGAGCAGCAGGAGAGCAGTTGTCACCCTGTTGTCCCGGCTGTGCACTAAATATACGAAGCACTCTCAAACGTTGGGAGACAGACAGAGAGAAGTAATAGGACAAGCAAAACAAATACATCAGTGCTGCTGTCTCCCTGGCAGGTCCATTATGAATAATTTATCTGGGGGTGATGGATGTTTGGATGTTTGGTTCTCTGGAGTCGCAGCTGTGACTGAAGCCTGCCACCAGTCTGGAGCTGCTGAAGGTCACCGGTGCAACCTCAAGATGAGCAGGAGCAACAAGGGGCCACGGATACGCAGCCAAAGTTATTCCAGTTCATCCAAAGAGGAACATGAATGCCTGCACCAAATTTCACTGCAATAGTTGTTGAGACGGTTCATTCAACCGCAGAGAATAGAAGTCATCCTCAGGAGACCATGAATGTCTGTCAGAAATCCTAAACAATTGACTGATTGAGCCACTAACGTTTCCATCTGTAGACCCATTACTACTTTAAATTAAAGTAGCTCTAAAGAACCAAAATGAATCATAGAAATGTTATTAAAACTTTCTTTATATTTGCGTGACTGTGTGTAATTACTGTCACATTCTATACGTTTGCTTTTAAACAAAGATAAAGAAATCTGAAGAATGCAAAAGAACATTATTTAAAATTAACAATATGACAATGTAATGTCGGGGCAATGCATTCAATAGTCCAATGAGACAGTCACCGAAGACAGTAGGATCCATCCTCAGGGGACCAGAGTTTGGACAACAGTTGATGGAAATCCATTCAATAACCATCGATGCAACAACCGAAAGAATAACATCCCAAACACCATACCAAGAGCATATCTAAAAATATACTGAAAGTGATGTAAAAGAAAATCGAGACCAAAGACTGAGCACATACGAAGACATATCAGGATGTGAAACTGAAAAAAGAAATTGAAACAGAAAAGACAATAGAGAATCTTAATGGAGGCCAAACAAAAGCTGTTCAGAAATATCTACGGAGCCCGACTCAAATCTCTGAGGGCTAATTCTGGGATGTAGCAGGAAAACACAGCCTAGCCAGTTTTCAAAAGCACAATGTACTTAGGGTTTGGTTCTTGGTGGAATCATCGAGTCTGTAAACAAGTTAAAAGAACATCAAGAAACAGAACCATGTGAAAAGATTTGCTGAGCAGCTGACGGTTTAAAAAGGTGGTTGTTGACAGAGGAGGACTCTGCTTTCACTTGGCTGACTCCGGAAATCAATCCCAAACGCTGGTGATTACGTCTGAACCCCCCGCGCCCCCCCGCTGCAGACTAACATGGACCATTGATTTCTGTGGAGGGGGCTGCAACATGGAAGAGCCTGGTCTGCTCAAGTGAAGTGTTTTAAAACCATTTGTTAGCCATCAGCAAACACGAGCTGAAAAAAACAGAGAGCGGTCCGTGGAGAGCAGAACTCAGCATCTGCAGCACTGACTGAAAGGGCAGGGGAACTGCAGCAGAGATTTAACATGGTATAACGGCTGCAAATGCTTTATCTACCACTAAATCACCACAGGAGCAGTCTGTGCCTTTTTTTCCTGGTGTTATATGGAGTGTCAGAGGCCTGTTTTCTCTTTATTTGGTTTGCTGTTTGCCGCAGGAGGCATTTTTTACTTCAGTTTATCATTTTTCTAGGTCAAAGCGAATATGGACATTTATTTATGTCTGGAACACTTGTCAGACGCAGGCCGGTATTAGGATGTCAATGAGACGTTTAGGAGCAGGATGAATGGTTTCCATTCTCTAAAAGAGTTGTAGATTATATCAGGCTTGAGAACATGGGGAGTGAATTTTATAGGAAAGTCTTCCAGTAGAGAAGAAGTTATGCCACCAGGGGAACTGTTACAGCTAACGTGTGCGTGCATGCTGACACCGGTCTCTGCAGGGCTATAATAACATGAATCCATCCATGTACATGTGGCGTGTTAATGAGAGGCTGGGTGAAAGCAGGAGATACTCAAAGTGTCCTTTTTTATTTGCTGCTATCTTTAAATTCACCTTTAAAACACCTTAGAACATACTGCACAGATTTTTAAAAACACCACCGATGTATATTGGACGTGATAGAGAAGCAGTTATACAATACAGTGGTTGTATATACACAATGTTTCTTACATGAGCTATAGTGCAAACTCGTCATGGCAATAAAATGAATGATGTATAATCACTATGGAATAATCTACAAACACATACAAATACGATCAACCTAAGAATAGAAACAATATCACTGATATGAAAAGTGGAACATTCTGTATTACAATTATTTCCTATAGTGCTGTGACCATAGACATGACCGCTCCGCTCACGTGAAGCCAAATCATTTTGATTGCCCCCTTGTGGCTGATTGTAATATGGGTGTTAAACCCATTCTCCTCCATGTCAGCAGAGGAGACACGAACCAAACTTAAAGGTCAAAACACAAGTCAAATACATTTGTCTCAAGCTGGTTTGTGACGTTTTGGGTAGTTCCCATTACAGAGTTTGGTTTTATTTAGTTATTTGATTATATTATTTAAAGCAAAGACTCACTCAGAATTGGTTGAGCACGAATCAGAGGGACCCCAATATCTCGCCTCTACTCCACGATCACTACCACACAGACTCCGGTGTCCCCTTCCCCACTCTCTTTCCCCATTTCATACTTAATTTGTCCTTTTAATAAAAGGCAAATACCCAAGATGTATCTCAAACATACTTCCTTGCTGGTTACATCCTTTATATAACTAAGTATAAATAATAAATAATGAAAATGAGCAAGGTGATTACAAACACAAGAGTCCCAATAAGTCCCATTTGAATAGACAGTATGAATCTGTGAATGTCTGCGATTTAAAAGTGAAGTAGAGAGAAGAACGAAAATCTAAGCACCGAGTGTTGAAACACTTCAGAGGTAAGTTCATAGTTTTGGTTCATAAGGCAAAGACAGAATCCTGACCTGATAAATACAATACAGCTGATGAGAGTGTTGAAGTTTACTGCTGGTCCGTGTCGTCGCGGCCAACTTGGAACTCAGTGATTTCCTTCACGAGGCGTTCTGCTATCGCCCTGCTGCTCGCCACGATCAGCCTCCGAGACATCAGATCAAATGGTCCGCCTGGTGAAGAGAGAAACTCACGGTAAGTAAGGATGACAAGTTTGTGCAGCCTTCACAATGTATTAGTAATAACCTGAATAAACCACCACATGACTTGCTTCATTTCTCTTTTACATCTTTTCAAAATGACTTCTCGTTGGATTAAAACAAGGAAATGAAGATGAAAAAATAAGATTCAAGACTTTGTCTTAATGAGGAACATCACCTCATCATAGACAAGAATAAAAATACACTTGATATACATCATAGAGTATAAAATCCAATGCCCTTAAGAGAGTGGAATAATAAATGTTAAAATAATTAAAACTGTAAATTGCAGCACAAGCTCTTGAGCTGAAACTTGTGTCCCTGAGTTCTTGCTTCCTGGTGGAATAAATCTCAGTTTCATAGGATTCCATTGTTTAGTTTTTAGGAGGTTTTATATATATTTCACTATAAGAAGACTCAAATCTGAAAACTCACTTGTTTCAGCTCAGTCAAAGACGATGAGAGGTTTCTGTTCACCAAGTTAAACTAAAGACGTTTTAAAACCTTTTCAATACCAGTTTAATGCCTGTTCCATGATCGACTTGTCCAAAGTATGAAAGTATTGTATGATGGAAAACCAATACTGTTAGTATTTTATATAGTATTGTAAGTGTGTAATGGCAGCACACAAGAACATTTAAAAACACTTAATAACTAGGCCGGGCAGCAGGCAGGAGAATAAATAATCATAATAAAAATACATACTGACTGTTTAATCCCCTGTCAATCTTTAAAAAAAAATAAAAAATATAACGTCACTGTTATTTGAAGCTACTGACGAGTTATCGACTGTCTTTGTACTCTGAGGCCAAATATATTATATTGTGCGAAGTCAAAGTGAATTCACGTTTTATTTTTGTAATAATATAATTATATTTGTGTTTCATCACTGGACGAATTAAACAATTAATTCATCATAATGTCGACAATTCTGCATCTACTGAGCTGAATGAAGTTTCCATGCAAGCAGAAAATATTCATTCTGAGATGCTTGTTTGTATAAAAGCAGATTTCATGAGGTCACGCTCAGTCTCTTATTTTTAAATTTCTTAATAAACTGAATCAGAGTTTGAGAAGAGGAGCTCTGACCTTCATATACCGTCAATTAGTGCGAGGAGGGAAAGTTCCTCGGAGTCCGAAGGTTTTGCCACACCATCTGTGCGTCCTTTATTATCGTACATTTTGAATGCACAGGGAAGATTGTCTTGTCATGACGTGGTCACCCTGTTGTCACAACGTTATTATCTTTGACAGATTTCTTAGCTTTCTAAATTTAGGGCAGCTGTTACATCAGTGGCAGCGTTGCTTAAAATGAACATCACATTTCTCAAGTCCTTCTGCTTCCGATCTAATGCAACACTATGTAACTTTTACTGAGCAACAGCGCCCTCTGCAGTCACACGTACTGTTTAATTCTGACAGGGTCCATGTCCTAGCGATGAATTGGTTTTCATCTACCGAAGATGAACCTGAATTCCTGAACCAGAAGAGCTGCTGCTGTGACAATTCCACCAAGCTCTGTTTCGAATTCTTCACATTTTGTCGAATATTGGAGATAAACTCTGGTTTTCAGTTACTTCTGAGTCTATTTAACTGATCTACAGTTCAGCTTTACTCTTCGACTCAGAGGAGATCGTTCCTGCTCCCCAAAGTTACTGAGAGGAAGAACAGACGTACAGGGTGGGGAGTGGGAATTAAAGAGGAAACACTCTCCATATTCCAAGTCACTGAACAATCAAAATCATTTTCAAGCTGATATATATGAGGTAAAAAGTTGCATAGTGATTCTTTAAAGTAGCAGTAGCTGCCCTCACCTCCTACCTGCCTGTGTCTCTCAGGCATTTCTGAGCAGAAAAATAGATAAAAATCAATAACGACAATTGGTAACGATAAATAATTCATAAAATCTGCAGTTTATTCACCTGCCACCCATCATCAGTTCATCCAGTGACTCAGCAGCCTTGAGTTTAGCAGGTGGTGTTTGAGGAGCTCACATTTTCTCAGTGACTCACCTGAAATGTCCATGATCACTCCTCCAGCCTCGGTAACCACCGCCGCCCCTCCAGCCATGTCCCAGCAGTGGATGCCCATGTGGTAGTAAGCGTCAGCTGAGCCGCAAGCCACCAAACACATGTTGACAGCTGCGCTGCCCGGGCAACGAATTCTGTGGATGGAAATGGGATGTTTGCTCAGCAGTGGACAGCACACGGATTTCCAGATCGGTGAGTACAAGTTGACTGAGTTCTTGTGGACGTCTAACATTTAATTTTTATGACTTTCAAACTTTTTTCCCCGATAGCAATCAAGGTCAGTATCTTTTACAGCGTTTCAGATTGCCTTTATTTGGTGATGGCAGCAGATAGGAAATATGGGCTCAGACAGAGGGGCACGACATGCAACAATGGTTCCCTGGCCAGGAACTGAACACGGACACCGGAGCCACCTGGTATTTCCTGTGTTGGATTCAAACAGGGATTCACAGGAAATGATGCGTGCATGTTAACCAGCGTTTGTGTTTTTGTCTCTCTCATTAAGAGGAGCCTGTTCTGTTTACTTTCACTCTCCTGCAGTTATGCCAGAGTGTTAAGTGACTAAAAACACAAAGGAGAAGGGCGCTTGGGAAGTGAATACCTCAGCCAAGGCTAAAGCCCTTTCTACCTTGACATGTTAAAAGAGTGACAAAGAATTCCTGGATCATCCTTTTAAGAAAGAGTTTCCTTGGGTCACCCCTTCAGAATTTAATGGAAATAAGCTTTTTGCCTAACACAGCTAACACACAGAGAGAAGAGATGAAAACAGAATGTCCTTAGCAGAGGTAAATGTTATTTTGCTGCGAAAAGAATTTAAGCCATGAGGAATTATTTTATTGTGAAGCACTCAAACTACCAGCAACTACAACTATAAGGAAAAGATTAAGATGTTGGTGACATGTGTGTATATTTACCCATGTACAGGGATGGCGAGGATGGTCTTGATGTTGGCCAACATGGTTTTGAATTTCTCGGGATCGCTCTTGAAGCCCATTTCTGTCAGCACCAGAGACTGTTTAATATCTTGGAGGGAAAACAAAATAAAATATTAGGCTGTGGAAAGAAAAAAAACTAAAATGTAGAAATGAAGCCTTTGAGAATCGACAGAGCTGTTAGTAGAAGTAGAGCCTCTTCCTGTGAGTTTGCCTCCACCTGGTGGATTTTTTACAAACTGCAACATCACAGCCCGAATCAATATTTACCTTCTTGTCCAGACACTTTGATTGGAACTCCGTTGCAAAACGCTCCTTTTCCTTTCCTGGCCGTGTACATTTTATCCTCAATGCAGCTGTAGACAATACCGAACTCTATCTGAGGGAAACAGCAGTGATTAATGTGGCGTGGGAGGACGGCTAAGAATAGAACAGCCATTTAAATAGAGGACGACACTGTGCCGGCGCTACACTGTCATTTACATGTGATTCACAAACGAAAAACTCCTACCTCTTTCTTCACAGTGAAGCCTATTGATACAGACACAAATGGGAACCTGCACAAAAGAAATGTACAATATGAAACATCAGCTTAATGAACTCCCTTTAGGTTAAAGCTCAGAGGAATCTCTTTCTATCAGCGGTTCAGTTTCATCTACGTTGTCTAATTATCCCAGACAGAGAGGACAATCCTAGAGAGAACCTAATTAAAAGATAAAAATAGTTAAGCAGCTACAAAGATAAAACCACTTCAGAGCAGAATCAGTATTGAGTTTCTCAGTGGTTCATTTTCAGGGTATTTAAGCGCAGGCAGTGGTACCTGTGAACAAAGTTGGTGGTACCATCAATGGGGTCGATGATCCAAGTGGGATCGTCAGTCAGAACACTTGGTGCTCCTGCTGCTACAGACTCCTCACCTATAAAGCTTTAAAATCACAACAAACAGAAAAGAAATGTTCATTTTAGTCATTTCACAAAAAATTTATGAAACAAATTCACCTGATGATGTCGACCAACTGTATCTATGCTCCAAGGTTTCTGCAGGTTTTAACAAGTTTATTTAAAACCTTTCAAGGACGTGATGACACCTGACATTAAAGTATCTCCTGTGACGACTTGTAATTAGATCTCACTTCCCTGCTCTGCATAGATAATAATGGATTTTGTTTCTAATATGTGCTATAACTTTAAATACTAGCAGCAGCGACCGAGGACTTCACTGAGGTCATGAATTCAGTATTTTTAATGTCACTTTGGGGTATTTGAATTTCCTTGGGATAGTTTACAACCGACAATTACACTAAGTGCACATCTAGTATTTAAGACTTTAAATGAAAGCATAAAAATAAATCAACAAGTAAATTATAGTCTCCAGTATCTTTACACCAGTCTTTATTCCTGGAACCATTTGTGTGGCTTGTATTGTTTCGTATTTACAATCAACAGTTAACTGATGAATGAAATACAAATGATCAAACTTTATATTTAGTAAGTTATTATTTTCTGTTTGCTTGTTTGTTTAATCTACATGGTGTGTGGCTTATGACATCAGAATGTGTAATGGTGGATGAATGAGAATATGGGAGAAAGCATTAAGTAGCCACAACATCCTAATTATATAAAACTGTAATTCAGTTGTCAAATTAAATATCAAATAAAAACATGAAACAGCTGGTCTGTGGTAAACTCTGGCCTTTTCCCATTAATGGCCTACAGTAAATTTAATAAGTGCATGTAGTACTTCTCCACGTCAAGTCAAGTACCTGTGTGTGGGGTACTTTTCCTTGATGGAGGATATAATAAGCTGCTCCACTTTCTGGTCTGTTTCAGTCACCAGGTCAACTGGTGAGCTCTTCTGCATGACGGCAATGTCCTTTTCCAGCGCCTCACGGATCATCTGGCAGAAGACACGACAACGAAAACAATCAGCGAGGGGATTATTTTTTTGCATGACTGCCTTCCTCTGCCTTTATATGTTCTTCAGGCGGAGATGGTTAGATGTAAAGCTCCAAAGCCCAAGTGTAAACAGCGCATTAGTCCCAAAACTTGCATTGATTGTTCTGAAAGCAAATAATAATTCTCATCCTGTACATAAATGCACCACACATTGATTTTGCCTGTTGGTTATGGTTAGACATACAAACTAGATTGACAACTCAGTAAACACAGAGGAAAAATCTTTAAAGCTATTGTTAGTACAGCCTGAATGATAAGGGGCTGATTCTGATAACAGATTCACTGGGCAGTTATGACACAGAAATGTGATTGAGGCTTGATACTTGACAGTTTAACCATGAACATCATTACAAATAATTATAAATGAAAAGAAAAAACAAATATAGAGACATATAAACACAAATGCACATATTTCTGCATTGTCAATTGAGGTCTGTCTGCTAAAGGAGATCGGGGAATAGATGCAAACGACAGGACACGAGGAGACACTGCATGAATGGCACCAATGAATGATTCGGTGTCCAGGTCATGTGAGGGGGAAGCTAAGTCTTCAGCAGAGCCGCTTACCTTCCCTGCCTTCTTGGTGACCTCCACACAGTGGTCCATACACTCCTGCCACAGGTCGCTCATGTTGATGTGGATGATGCTCACACACACACACACACCCAGAGACCTGTCGACACGAGACACAACACTTGAAACACACTGTAAACACGTGGTCCAGTCAGAGTTAAAGACACAAACGCTAGCATAGCATAGAGCAAATAAGGAAATCAGCTCATTTAGCTCCCTATGCTAATTCGCTTTTTCTTTGCGGCGGGACGCGAAAAATAAACGAACCCTGAGCTGAAAGAGAACCGCGACTACACGCGTGGAATCAAAGGTTTCGTCGAGCTGCTTTTTAATGTCGCTTATTTCGGGTTATGAAAAGTTACGATGCAGAAGAACCGCTGAGCTACATGCTAACGTACCTCGCTGCTGACAAGCTAGCTGTGCAATGTTGACGTTTGGCTGCGAGGGGGGTGGGACTAAAGATAACGCTCGCTCTCATTGGTCAAACGTGTCACGTGATGTAAAAGTCACGGCTCTTATTGGCTGGATTATCCCCGTGAGTTTCAAAAAGAAGAAAAACATGTAAATGGTTTATTTTTATGATAATGATGGTTAAATAATATATTATTAGAGATTTCATTTAATTACTGGGAGCCATATGAAAACTCAACTGTATCAACAACTGAAAAACTGGAAGGTTTGACCAACCACATCAGGTGAGTTATTAATAAATAGTTTAAAACTACAACTGAATCCCAATTTAAATCACATCCTTAAATTCAGCACAGTTATATCTCTGTTATAAATCAAGGACACAAACCAGCATTTTTTTAACTCCTCTGACTCGTTGGTTTGTCTAAACCACATTCACAGAGCCTCTTGAATCTCCACTTTGAGTTTTATAACTATGGAGACCATGTTAAAAGGTGTGACACTGTAATGGACAGTACAAGGAGATAATTTACCTTGTATTTGTAATTGTTGATGTTTTCACCACATTAGAGAAACAATGCAACATTTACATGAACTATATTTCATGTTTTGCTAGATCAAATGTGGTTCATCCAGCTGTTTAACCACCAGCTTTTAAAAACCATTAAAGATGGTTAGGGCCAGCAGCTTGGGCTCTGTCTAACCTCTGGGAGGCATCTTTATTAGTTCATCAATTTGATTTTCAGTGTGAAGCCAAATTGTCAGGATCCAGTGAAAATGTCAAGGCCCCTAAAAAAAACATTTGACATTATCCTCCCTTTAAGTTTGAACTGATGACTTCTTCCTCTTTACTATCACATCGGATTAAATAATCAGCGTTCCAACTCTCCTAACAGAAAACATGGGGATTCAAGTGTTATGACATCGTTGAAAACTAGAATAAATTCTGCTCTCCGGTGTAAAAACTGTTTTAGCAGGCAGGAAATGGCTGGAAGGAAGTCGTGCTTCAATTATTAAAGTCAAGCTTCCCTTAACTTATGTTAATTATGCATAAACTTCCCCTGATGGCAGAATGTTGGCTCTGCAAACACAGAACATTATAAGGAAGCTGCTATTATGAAACAGCTTGTAAAACCATCATTTAGTTTGTCAATAGGGCATTTAGGAACACTGCATATGGAATAAATGCGTTTAAATTCTCCTCCTTGCTTTTGTTCCACAGTCTTTTGTTGGAGTTTTTTTTTAGGCTACACAAACTCTGAGAATTTGTCAGTCAATAAACTCTCGCATCTCGAGGGAGACGCTCTAACAACGCAATTAGCTTTAAAAGCACAATGTTTTATCGCATCCATACACTGTATCTGAGATTTCACCTCAGGCGGCCTTTATCTCACAAAGAGGAGGCAGAAACTCAAAATGAATTTCCTTGAGCGGTTAATGAGATGTCTGGCAAGTTCGGTGATTATTAAATCTAATTCCACTGAACGAGAGCAGTGTATTTTGTGTTTTATGGTCGAAGATAAGACTGTGTTATTAGAATCACTCTCAGACTGTCACATGAGCAGCTTTCTGTGTATTCGGTGACAAACTGTGTTAGTTGAGATTATCTAAGGTCGGTCCTGGATTTCCTGGAACACTCTTGTAGTTAATTTGTCGAATTTGGAAGTGAATCCCCTTTTGAAATAAAGAAAGGTCACTTATATACTCTTGCGGGAAACAGATGAGAAACATTTTTCATAACGGACATCCCTTAAAAATACCCCACAGCTGTTTTCAGATATGAATTCCAATAATCGGAGGAAAAATTGGGTCAGGACATTTTCTGGAGTTTGTCTTTAACACACGAAGCAGCTTACGTCACCTTTTTTTTGACAGTTTATTGCATCAAGCGTCATTGGCAAATTGGAGATATTATGAAAACAGAAGAGGTTGGTAATGAAAATTGTCATTTCCTCATTTGTTTTAACACCAAAAAAGTAGTTCCATGGCAAAGTGGGAACAAGACAGAGTGTGGAAGGAACACATGTATTTGTGTAATTAAAGTTACAGCATCTGCTAATTAGCAGTAAATACAAAGATAAAAAAAAAACTTCAATATCTGCAGCAGATGTCATCCAACAGCTGCCAAGATATTTCACTTTCAATCACACATTTGAACCTCATGGTGGCGCTAGAAGAAAAGGCAGGGGAATGTCACAGGGGAACATGAATGGATTTATTGGCAATGCATCCCATATTTGTTGAGATATTTCAGTCTGGACAGCTTCGTGTTAAATGGTTGCATAGTCTACTGCAGATTCTAAGTCAAAGCATGACCTACAAGTTAAAGTAAAGTATACTGCAATGAGAACAAAGTAACTTCTGCATCTACTGGCAATGATGAAAGGTTAATGAAGGGTTAGATTTGTTGATAGAAACGTATATATTCCCCTTTTTTTTAGTATCAGCACTAATACACTGGTCCTGTGTTCAAAAAAGTACAAAAAAAAATCATGATTGTTTAGAAAATGAGTTTGGTAAATACTTGTTTACTATTTAAAAAGTAAAAATAAAAGTGCAAACTGTGAAGGTTAAAACAATGGCCCTGCAATAGTATATTACATTGATCTGTGGGAAATAACCAACGTTAATGTTGTTAATGAGTGATGCTGCTTCTCATTACTCAAAACACATGGTAGAAACCTCTTGTAAGGCATTACAGCTAACAACTTGAACATGCAGTACTGTTAGGCCTTTTTACTTTGGAATATTTATAATTCAGCACTTCAAGAAGACATGTAGATATAAATAAAAGAAAGCAAAACCTTTTCTAAGATGACAAATTGCTTTGAACCTACAGTTTATGCTCTTGTTTCCAGTAAAACCTTATAGATGCTTCTCATTCCTGCTGACTTTATAAAAGGACATCAACTATCCTCAATATATTAGTGGAGTATAGTGGAGCTACACAAACAGTGACATGAATTATATTTCTTCCTCCAGCCCATGAACCCATGTCTCAGGGAACAGCGTCAACACTGTGTGGACAGAGGCAACATGGCACCATAATGGGAGTCATGTGGATCTGCTTGTTGAAGGAGGAGGCTGAAAAATATCTCATCTGTCCGTTAAGAGTGTCTGTCTTGTGGATGTGGAGCTGAATGTCAAGACATCACATCTCACCACGATGAAACTCAGGTTGGGACAGAAAGAGTTTCACAACACAGTCAATGGAGACATCCGCTGGAATCTAACCTTAGGTAAAGAGAGAAGGTGAGTGCTTACAAATCCTGGCGTGTGGGTACCTGTTTATATTGAACGACTTAACTCCACTTTAATGTGAAAAAACATTTATCTTTTGTGTATCTCCTCCAAAGGTTAGGTTTATTGTCTTCTAAAGGTCAGCCATCATTATTTGTTGGAATCTGCTGCAGGGTGTCGGAGAATGTGTTTGAGAATGTGCCAGGTTAGAATGCAGAGGAAAAAACGTAGGAGGATATTTTTTGTAAATGATAATTAAATTCTAGAAGCTGACAAACACCTTGTGAGCCCCAAGGAAAGTACCTGCCATCCTGGACTCATATCCGAACACTGATGGAGTTATCTTTGCAATGATTTACAGTGAGGCAGATTAAAGCATGCACAAACACACATCTTTACTGAGGAGCGGTGAGGCGGTCCAGACTCTCACCATCACGACCTCCTGGAAAACACTCCAGACGTTTGCAACGACCAACCTGACGATATGTAAATAACCCCCCCATCACATCCTCATTAATACTTTTCTTTCTTTCCTCTGATGAACTCACCCCCCCCGTGGATGGTCACGTTTTCTCTCCTCTGTCTTTGTGTCCATTTCAAAGGGTTGACAATGCTTCTGCTCTGCTCCGGTCAGCTGAGAGCACAGCTCGGGACGACCCCCAACATTAAACACATCGTGGTGGGACGGTGTTATAGTTACATCACCCTCGTCAACCCCAGTTTGAGGTAACGTTTTCAGTCCTGTGTGGGAATGGGTTTGTAAATCTGGTGACTTCAGATGAGAATTTCCAACTTTGATTTCATCACCAGTGAAGATTTGACTTCCCGCTCACATCCAAAGTCAAATAATTATAATTATTATTACTGTTATCAGGTCAGTGCTGATCCAACAGGAGGGACACATGTTTTGATGTTGACTCAGAGAAAGAAGAAAGGAAAAAGAAACCTGGTGCATATATGGAAAGATTGAAGCTTACACAACTTAACTTCCGTAGCAAAATAATGACTTATGCATCAAACACTTGAGGGCTTATTGATTTCCCAATCAATCAATTTAATATTTAGTCAATAAAATATTTAAAAGTGAAAAAAGAAAAGTCCCCTTTTCTCTGAGCCCCAATTGAAATCTGTAAATATCTTGATTTATCCAGTCAAAAAAATCTAAATAAATCTATTTTACAACTGTATTGTGACAAAAAAGAGCAAATATTCACACAAAAAAACTTTAAATTATTAATTCAAGATCATCTTTTGTGTAGGTTTGACTGCGAGGAGATCTGGAGACAGTTTGAGGAGGCGGTGCTCCGTCAGTCTTCTTGCAATGTGACGGTGGAGAATTATCATCTGATGTTTTATTCCATCCCTCAAACCAGGCCGTGTGACAAAGTGAGTAAGCTTTCAAATGATGTATGTTCACCATTTTGAATTCATACCTTGTTTTTGAATGATTTCTTTCCCTCCTTCTGCAAAGTTTCTCTTCTGGAGTAAAACCAGGACTCTGATGCAGAGCTACAAAGCTGCTGTCCGTCACTTCTGGACGCTGGAGGACACGCTGGTGGGCTTCATGTTCAACGACCTCATCTGGTGCGGACAAGAGGAACAACCAGGTAAATCAGTTTGTTCAACATGGAGACAAAAGTTTAGAAAAAACACAAAATACTGATTTTCTTATGAGCCTTTGAGGGGTCCCGACCCCCGTTGGAACCACGGACACAACTCAGTTGTGATATGTGCCTTTTGCTTTTTGGAATTACTGATTTACATAAACTACAAAAACAACAAGCTAATACAAATAACATAGTGATTCATTAATGATCAGTGAGCTCTAGAGCTGCTGGTTCACTCCAGGTTCACAGTTCACTCCGTTATTACAGTTGTGGTGAGAAGAGATTTGTTATTATCAGTGTAATGACCTGAACTTGAGGGTCGTGTCCGTGTCTCTCTGAGCTGACGGTTGTGAATGTGACTCACAGGTTTTGATTTCAGCTCTTGTCCAGCCTGGTCAGCGTGTAGGAACCACGCTGTGTATTCTCTGTGGCTACAGGCGTCTCAGACTGTGAGTTTAATGTCCAACCTGTAGATTATCCATCCTGTTCATCATGCATATGCAACGAACTGTCCCAAAACTAACAGTGAAAAAACGTTACTCATTAATTTGTTAGTTTGCAGAAATGGCGTGTGGCAACATCACTGTGTTATTGAACGGCTCCATCGTCAACGCCTTCGACAGGAAAAGGTTAAAAAACTAAAGTGAATGAAGCGAATATGTTGCTGTTTATTGAGTGTATAATAAAATAATATATTTTCTTGATTTCCCAGCATGTTAGGAAGCGTTGAACTGGACAACCTGAATCCACAAAGGGTGAACTATGTCAACATTAAGGTGGTGGCTGATCTACAGGGACCATTCATGTGAGGACAAATAAACGTATTTTTATTTGTTTTTAATATACCTTTACTGGGCTTGTGGTATCAGGGCTGAACTCCCTTTATTAATTTATTAACAATTATAATTGTTACATTTCTGCTTAATTTACAATTCTGAATCAAAAGATAACACGACAGATAAGACAAGACTTTATGGAATAATAAAGTTGAATTGCAGTATTTCAGAATATACAGGACACAGCCAAAACATTTATTCTCATTTAAAACATCACTATTTTAGTTTCCACTTCCATAAGACCCTCATCAGAAAGTTGTATGAATAAAATAATACTATTCTGATCCTTGTGTTTCTCTTCTACAGAGAGTCATGTAGTCAAGGATCCATTGTCGACCTGATCCAAATCCTCCAGTCCAGAGGTTTCCGCTGGACGTGCACACACAACGATCAGTGAGTCACGTCCAACAGCTTCTTCAAAGCAAAAGAAAAACTCAGTGTTTCATGGAAAACATCCCAGTTATGATAAACAGATGACTCACTCAAATCCATGACATGTCCTGACAACACTGTGGTGTCAGATGTTGTTTGTGACTTCAAAATAAGAGCACCGTGCAATAACAGAAATCTAACATTTGTCCACAGGACCCTGACGATTCTTCAGTGCGTCCAGAGCCCGAAACAATCCATCTGCCAGACATATGCCAACAGCCTGTCCCACAGACAGTCTCACATCCATCAAGTTTAACATCTATTCCAGAATTATTATTGTGTAGTCTTGTGCTCAGTGAAGGTGCATTTAAATAAATCATTTTAATGTTGTGTGTGTGTGTGTGTTCCTGAGGACCTGGGGTGGTGCAGTGTTGACTGTGAAGTTGTTATATTAAGTATGGACAGACAGTTGGCTAATTTGGCTCCAGCCTCTCATGTTTCGAGCCAAATGCCGGTAATTGTAAAGGTATTACAGTGTTTACATTTTATTTTTTGTGACTGTGGAACCAAAGGCCACAATGTTCACACAGTAACTGGCGGAACAATTTTAAGTTTTGATCCTGCTGCTCAAAAGCATTTCTCAACATGTTCCCTGCTGTGACCTTTGAATAACAGCCCATGTGCATCTTTTAGAAGCTGATTAGCCGCTAATTGCGTGAACTTCAACCAGTTATTACCACAGCTCTTTTGTATAAGTGTTTTATTAGCAAAATTACCTGATGACAGAAACAGGTTTTAAAAATGCAACATTTGTCAAAGGCCTGAGAAGAGAAGGGATTTGAAACTTGTTTCGTCTTGCGTATGCAAATATATTTTGTGAATTGAAAGAAACCTTTGTTATACCTGCTGGTTACTTTAGAGATTCTGATCAACCATAAACATATAATCATTGACTAAATGATCTGTGATTTTTAGAGATTAAGGTAAGACTGATCCCTTCACAAACTAAACGTATCCCAACTACTGAGAAGGCAATGCGCATATTAATGAAGTAATAAATAACTCAACTACAGTGTAAATCAATGTACATGATTTATTTTAATGTGGCATGAGGAGTACTTGAAGTAGATTACGGGGATGTTTTTTTGGCATTCTTGTCTTTCCAGCATGTTATACAGTATGTGTGTGTGTGTGTAGCTTTAAATAGCATTGCTGTAGAGCACGTTTGTCCTGTGCACATGTGGTTCTAACCTTTGAGCTCATTCACAGCAATGCAATCTTACACTGATCACTATGGCTGTTCAAAAACTCAATGAAACATACGATGATGGCAAATAAGAAAAAAAAAACACAGCAACAAATCCCAATCATCGTCTGCTGTTGTGTTTGGTGATTTGTCTTTGTGCACCGATACAATCTCCAACAGGTTAATACAAATGTATATAGTGAGTCACAAGATTGAAACCAATCAACATGACAACTTCCATCTGAAACCGACGCAAAGCGTTAAATCCTGAACACAACACAACCTCCACAGATGGTGGCACGTGTCCGCGCACGCGGTCTCTCCATAAATAGACTTCAGAGCGCGAGCACAGCTCACTGTCAACAAACCTGCAGCGGATCCGCGGAGCTCCTGACACCGACCATGCAGTCTGTGGAGTCACTGCAGCCCGGAGACGTCCCGCACCGTGGGAAGAGACGCACCCGGAGACTGTGGGTGTATCTCGGCCTCGCCGTCGTCCTGCTGCTGTGCATCACTGTGGCTGTGTTGATGGTGACACTCCGTAAGGGAACAAACCCACTCAGAGAAACCTTTATCAGCAGGTGCGAGCTTCTCCAAGGGTGAGTGGTTTTATTTTCCTTTTTAATAATAATGTGGAAAATTAAGTGAAGCCTGATAAATATATGATTCAAGACAAAATGAGCTGCCAGCCCGCATGAACAAACTTATTAATGATCTAGATCGTTATTATAATAATAATAATAATAATTATACTTCTCATTCTTTTTCTTATTATCATCAGACAGACACACATTTCCTTCATTGACCTACTTTTCCTTAGTTTTTACATAAACAGGTGAATTTGTTTTTCCGCAGGGACATTTTGAATTGAAGTAATGTACAGTATATACAGTGCACAGCAGCAAACAGTGGGTGGGGCAGTTTACTGCAGTCTCCAGACACACTCAGTTACTGTGACAATAGCAATATATTTACTTCCTATTTGCCAAGTTGTCTTAAAAGTCAAATTTGCTTGTTGCGATGCTTCATATCAAGCTTTTATTTTGAAAAGATTGTGTCTGACCTTTGAGATAGCCTTCATGCAATACAAGACATGATAACAAGTATTTAAGTAAATCATACAAACTTATACAAACAATACACGTGAACAATATTAAGACAATTCATTTCATCTTATGACATTGACTATAAACTCTTCATTGCAGATAAACCAGGTTGGATAAATAAATCTCCACACACAGCATCCGGCACGCAAACAATAAAAAGTGACAGAATATTGTTCCAGAGTTTTAGGACGACTAACTAATAATTCTGAAGAAGTTCGGAGCATCAACACAGGACAAGACAACAACCCATTACACACAGGCAGGTTTAGAACAACAATGAAACCCTATAATTATTCCTCTACTAGTGAAAGAGCGATATATAAATGTTAATCTACCTTACAAGAATAGACGAACTCAAGGTTTTTATATTGTGCCATGCTGACACTGCAGCTTTCTGAGCCAGGGCTGATCGTGTTACAGGCTGAGCTGTAGTCTTCTACTTCGTCTATGCCACCCTGACCATCACTCCTGTTCAATAATTGAGTGCTTCTGCAGCGTCTGCGGGGTTGCAAGCATTCCCTGGACATGCAGAGTCATAGTTGCACATAAAATGAACTGAAACAGAAGGTGTGCTCTTGACCCACATCCATGAGACTTAGCGCTGTCATTTAATTTTCAGGTACAACTGCCAAGACTTATGGGCTAAATTCCAACAAGCCTACGTAGGCCAGGACCCTTGTAAGATTCCCTGGGAAGCCTACGACCCTTTCATCGCTGCAGCCAACTTCGAACCGGCATGCAACAGAGTAAACATCAATCATCACCACACCCAGCCTGAGCAGACATCTTCTTTCATAATGAAGAATAATCTGTTTAATAATGGGACGTTAATACTCTTTTTTTGGGGGGGGGGGGGTCGGAGTTTAGATGATGTTCTGGAGCAAAACAAAAGACGTGGTCCATGATTTCACTGACAAGCGCGAATGTTTCGTCACCATGGAGGACACTGTGCTGGGATCTCTCCTGGATGACCTGACATGGTGCGGGAAAGAGGGCAGCAGTGGTGAGAAGCTTCAGAACAACTCACAACTGTTCTTTTTGAGTTTTTATTTTATGTGTTAAAAACATAAAAGACGCAGGAAGAAAATGTATTAATATTTGAAAAACATTAGCTGTTTTTCCACCATTCAGGCCAATGACGTTGCACATCCTTGTGTGCAACGTGTGTGTGTGTGTGTGTGTGTGTGTGTGCTACATACACTACAAAAGAACATGGTGATTAACACTGACATGCGGCCCGAGGTGTTATTTGTGGAGCCAACAGTTATTTTTACATAATTTTTAAACGTGCCAAGTCACGTCAAGTTTTTGATGTGTACAATTGCTCAGGGGGTCCTGACACAGAAGTGTGTTTGTTCTTCTCAGGGTGTTTTTTTAAAGATATATCTCACGGGGAAGTAATCGAAGGGTATGATGACACACACTTTAGGAAATCCTTTCAGGCAAACTTTCAGCGAGAAAGAAAGAATATAATTCCATTTCCCAGGATTTAAACGGCTAACTGCAAAGTATCTCAAGTATCTGAGAGTAACTGTTCAATGATCAACTCATCAGTGAAGAAAGTTCAAATGGTTAAATATTTATTGAAGCTTGACTGAGGAGAAAATCAGAATCCATCAATACAACAACTGTGCACGATGTCCTCTCATATTCTGAAGTCTGATCTCCCGTGGTCGAACCCCTACGGATCATTCAGTCTATTGATTTGCTAGTTCTTCAACAAGTAAAAGTATTTTCTACTTCTGGAGACAGTGTTGCCTGCTGATGCAGTCTCATATCTGTGGTGTCTAGGAAGTGAAGCCTTTGACCTTGGCCGCGCTCTCGCACTTCCCCAAACATGACAATTCCATAACATGAACCGTTCTTTTGTAATTTTATATGTTTTGTCTTGTTGTAGAAACGTTTACGAGCAACTGCCCCGGCTGGACGGAATGTGAGAACAACCCTGTTCGCTCGTTCTGGAGCAGAGCCTCATCTGTTGTAAGTTTCTTAATTCCCCCACAGTCCCAGGACCAAGCAGTGTCTTAAGTACACGTGTGGAACATGAAGTGAATCTCTCCTGTGTATTTATGATGGAGAAGAGAAAAGAAAAGGTCACTCTGCCCAGTTCCTCATCAATGAGGCTTTGTGTCGGTCTCCATGGAGCCACAGTGCAGAGCTCTCTCCTGAGCGAGCAGAGCAACCCACACAGTCACAGGAGCCTTGACAGACTCACATTAGCATTCTCACAGCAGCTGAACAGATGAAGTGAGGACAATCTGACGTTACACGGGTGGTTTGTCTTACAAATCCTGAAAGGGAGAGTTCAGCCAAAAACTAAAAATTCACTAGTTCATGGAGGGGTGAAGAGTTTGAGTCGGCAAAACACTTGAGGAGTTTCAAGGCTAAACAACGTTGCAGCCAATTTCAAGCAGGTTGTGTTTTCACCCCTTGTCCATTTGTTTGTTATTCGGTCACGGTGACCTCATATGAGTCTGGAGAAAACATACATGTAGATTGACATGGGTTGGTGGAGGCATATACGACTGCAGGACGGTCGTTTTAACATGTTGGTCGTGTGTAGTTTGCAGACAAGGCCTGTGGCGATGTCTCTGCGATGCTAAATGGATCCCTCGTGACACCGTTCAGCCCCACAAGGTAAAACTCTGCTCGCTGACGTCTTTTCCTTACTGTGCATTTTCACATCTAAGATGGCAGCAGTATTCCACAAGTCTGGCACAGTAGCAGCACTTTAACAGGATCTCAATACGCTTCATGTTCATTCTAGTTGCTAATCCATAATATATCTGCTGGCTCACAAGTCAAACTACATCAGACGTCCTGATGCGTTTCTCAACTGAATATTTTGAATTCAAACTGGTCCTTCAAGTTTCTGCTCCTCTAAATTGTGCTCTTTTGTTTTTGCTGTCAGTATCTTTGGCGGCATTGAAGTCAAGAGGTTGAACTCCACCAGAGTGAAAAGCCTGAAAGTCATTCTGGTCACACAGGAGATCGCTGTGTAAGATTATAATCTACGACACAAACATGCAGACAAACTTGAACTCATACTGTGAAAACTGATCATGTGTTCTGTGTCATTTATCTTCAGGTCAAACTGTACAAATGCATCTTTTCAGGATTTACAGAAAGAGCTGGATGAAGGAATTAAATACGACTGTACAGAAGTGACTGAGTAAGCAGTAATTATAATAATAGACTTTATTTGCAATTCAGAAATACCAAACAACACACAGTGCTTCACATTAAAGCAATTAAAACAAGAAAAACTAGACAATTGAACATAAACGATGGGTTAAGTTAATCACTCAGCAGGTAAAATACTTGAGTCTATCTCATACACAGAATTAGGACTGTATCTTGACTTTGTTCCTCTGCCTCTTTTTTTTTTTTTTAGATCTCATCTCCAGGAGTGCAGCTCTGATCCAGAGAAACCATGCGGCCCCTGCTGGTGAAAGTTCAGTCAGATTGTAATGTCGGTCAAGAGAAAACAAAAACCTGCTGTAAATAATATCCGTCTACAGTTTGTTTTAATTTCTGAATCAAAATGTGCCTCCTAAATGTATTTAGTAGATTTTGGGACAGTTTGACATAATGTGAAATTATGTGTTTAACATAAAATTCCGTCGATAGATTTTTAAATTACGACAAATAGCATTTTGCATTTTTAAAATGAAAAGTTTTATGGCGTGATGAGAAGTTTTGTCGCAGGTTTAAACGACTTGTCATCAAGGGTAAAGTACCACTGCTAAATGCTAAATGACTGTATTTATAAAGCACTTTCCGTGCTCCGTCCTAATTATCTTTAACTGCCAATCTCAGGTGCAATCATCATTTTCTGTCTTGTTTTAGTAAAAAGCCTCAGAGGGATGATGCATCGCCTGCGCTCGCACTGATATCTACCCTGATCCCTGATCAGACCATGCCAACCTTTTTATTATTGTAATGTTGCCATTTCATAATGATGTCATCATGGCGTCACAATGAAGAACGATGGGTTCATCCAGATTAACTATAGATTGAATCTAATCTTATTGGACATCATCAAACAGCTGCATGAAAAACGAAACTGAATGTGCCTGAGAGAGAACGACACTCTCTCACCTGACAGACGGTCAATTATTCTACCTCTCACTGCCGTGTTTTTGAGTGTCAATGTTTTTTAGTGAACGATCTCGTCAATGAAATGAACGTCAGCGTCTGAAAAGAAAGAAAAGAAAACTGCCATATATATATACGTACTGTACATTTAGCACATTCTTTGTCTGCCCGTGGTTCAGCTCTATAACATCTACATCAGTCTTTAGGTACAGATTCTCCATATGACCTTTATGTGTTTTTAATAAAAAGCTTCTGATTCTTATTCAGGATTTTTGTCTTCATTACTTATTCATCTCGTTTACAGTCTCATTTTTTAGCAAAGCAACAATTCCATGAAGCACAGTTCCATGAAGTCACTCTAACTTTTTTTGGGAAGTTAAGTTAGTGCTGCTCTCTGTTTGCTTTTGGTTTGTTTGTTCGTCAGCAAAACTACACAGAAAACGTCAGAGCAGATTTTCAAGAAACGTGGTGGAAGGTTTGGGACATGAGCCGTTGAACAACCCTGAGAACTGGTCTTTTTTCTTGGTAAAACTGAATGAGTTCTCTAAATGAGTGACTTTCTCTTGTGAATGAGAGTAAATTGTGTTTTTAGCAGAAACAAATAGAGACAAAAGTTGGTCATGAAAAATAACAACACAGGTTTTTCTTCTTCTCTCAGATCAGAGAACTCAAAACTATTGAATTATTCATGAGAGATCAAATGTTTCCCACAGCAAACATTTCTAAGACGACTGTCTTAGTTTTATTTCTGCTGAACACAGTTTTTGTTCTGTCTTTTTGTTCACATGAAACTGAGAGATGCTGCCTCAGAATGAACCACGTTTATGCAAACACACTAAACCACTAAACCACAAGTCAGAAGAGAGAGCTTTTATTTTGTAGGTGTAGGCCACAAAGAGTCTTATCTGTTGTGTGTGTGAACCGAGGGCATGTGTGGCGACACAAGCAGGAAGTCAAGGAGCCGAGTTTCACGTGTTCGATCTGAGCAAGATCATTGCGGCAGGAAAAAAAAGGCAAAGCCGAAGCTTCTCTTTCCTTTCTGGTGACTTGCTGCATGTGTCACACGTTACCGTAAAACAGACTCCGCCGGTGCTGGGAAGACACGTGCAGGGATTCTCAGGGCACAGGTGTCACATGAAGAAGGCCCCTTTCTGTAAAACCACAACATGGGCTGCTGTGAGAAACACAGAGATGCCGGTAAACGCTGTCACAGTTTGAGTCACCGACTCTGTGAAGACAAGAAGACGTTTCAGGGACGGAGAAACACAATGTCAAAAACTCAAGAGCAGATTTTCGAACAAACAAGTAGGAAGAGAATTAAATAGAATGAAACTTTATCGTCCATCTAAGTGGAAAATTTTCTTTAACTTATCAATAAACAAATAACGACATGAGATCTGGGAAGTCAACATAAAAACGGAAGAGTGACACATGATGGGAGTTCTTGTTGCAGCCTGTCAGTAGAATAAATATAACTTTGTGGACTTAAGAATACTAAAAGACTATTTTAAAATAAAATAATTTCCAGAAGGACTCTATAGCGCCCTCCTGTGGCTCAAACTGGCTGAAGAAAGGATGGGAGGTATCTGTAAGAATACTGCTCGCTCTCTTCCTCAGCCTCTCAGGGAAGAGTTGGTTCAGGGGCCTTTGGGGTTTGCCGACTATTTTTCTTGACATCGACACAGATCTGGAAAGTTTGTTCTCGGCCTCTGAAGCTTAAGTGACCGAACCAGACAGGAAGATGAAAAGTTCAAACTCAAAAGTTCCCAAATCTGTGGACTGAAAGTTTTGAAACAAGTGAGCTGCATTTCTTTGGACTGTGGGAGGAAGCAGGAGTACCTGGAGACTTCTGTCTTTTGAGTGGTCGAATAGACAAGCAGCAGATGGATGAAAGGATGGATGGAAGTCAGGGGTCTTAACATTTCTTCTTGGGACTAGAAACTCACAATACGATGCTAAGGAGTTGCCAACGACGACCACAAGGAGATTAGAACAAACAGGAAACAACAAACAATTTGTCCGACTGTGTGTCATCCAGTCTGGGTCCAGGATCATGACTCTTTGTCACTGTAACATTAGAAAAGGTTGATTATATTATATTTGTATTTGACTGAAAATGTTCCCAACATCTACTCACACTAAGTGAAGGGAGAGTAAGATAAGATTTAATATCACTGGTTCTTTATGAGAGAGAATAAAAAATGGACCATATGTTACCGAGGCAGAACCAGCGACGTGGTTTCCCATCTGCCCCTCCTTCCCTGAAACCCTCTGACTCAACAACTTATACAACAGTAGATTGTGAAACATGATAAGTCTGCGTGATCTGTGATTTTCCCACAACCCGCAGCCTCATGAATGTTCACACACTGAGACACTCAGTGCTCACAAACTGTGTCAAACTGCACTGTAAAAAAATGTAGAGATTTATACCAGGCTCTGCAGATATATAATA